AGCGGTGCAGCAAGGAAAAATGTCCCCCGGGAAACAACAGTTCACTGGCGGCCGCGACGAAACGTTCCGCTATTTAAACCGGAATGTCGGGTATTCAAAAAATTCATATCGTAACAAAAATAAAAACCGGTATTCGGTACAAAACGGTATACCGCCCAGCACTAGTGGGAGTTGATTTGGGTTGCATTTGATTTTGTTCACAGTTTCTTTGAACCCTGATATATTTACAGTATAACTATTGGAGCTAAACCAAGAGTTTGTTTACACGTGAACGATCTCGGGAAATGTCCACAAACTTTCACACTTGAGATTTGGTTTCAGAAAGCTTCATTTCCACAGAAAACGAGTGCAGTTGTTGTGTGAATGACAGTCGAACTGCAGAAGTAACAGCAAAGAGATGTTCCTTCAAAAAAGAGAAGCTCTTTATGTATTTTGATACAGACTGTAAACAACACAGGATTTCACAGGATTTAAACACTTTGTGTTTATATAAACTTTGACTTTATTGATTGAGGAAGAACAATCACGCTAATGACAAACACGTACTCACAGAAACTTTGCTGTAAGTGTAAAGCAGACACGGCTGTTGGCTGCAAAAACCCACTTAATGCAGGACTGAAAGTGATGCATGTTTTTGCTTTTATCTCCTCGTAGATCAACAAAGAAAATGGTACGGTGGAAGCATCACGGATCATGAACCTGTACCAGTTCATCCAGTTGTATCGTGACATTACCAGTCAGGCTGCTGAGGTGCTGACAGCTGAGGGTTCCATCAAGGACCCGTCAGCCCAGCTGCCCTCCACGGACTCCTGCCAGGCCAGCATGTGGATGGGGAGGTCAGGACACAGAGGATTTGTCATAGTCAGATATAAATCACTATTCAAATTTGGCATCTAATTAGATACTTATTTGCAGTAATATTGATACCGGTAGTGCCGTCTTTGTCCCAAAAACACAAACGCTCTGCTGCTCTTCTCACTATGTGCTGAACACACAAACATCAGCTGGCTTTAATACTATTGTTCTAATTCTCATCATTTTCATTCATTCCTCTAAAAACTGTTGTTTGTGACACAAGAAAACAGAATTAATTAAAATACTTTATGTTCTTCCTTCATCGTTTTTAGGTATAACAAAAACTAAAGCTTTTAAAAGAGCTTTATTCAATTACATGCCATGTAGGGCGTTATAATTGCACATTTATGAATTGATATGCTATGTTACTAATGTTAAATTATGCTGATATTATGTGCTTTCCAAGCCTATATTTCAATTTTATACTAAAATAAAGTAACTATGTCACATTTTCAGCTTATGAAAGAGCTACATGTTTGTAAAACTCCCCCAAACAATTTACTTCTCATCTTGACAGTTTCTAAACGCCTTGAAATAGGTCTCTGTCTCTTTAAGAAAATCCAACCACTTCGGTCACGCCCATTTCAGCATGTAGCCTGCCGGAGTCGCGCGCGGGGGAGGGGCCTCTGACATGAGGAAGTTCGGCTTAAAGACACATCCCAGAGGAGGAGCTTGTCCCAAAAGGACACATCCCAGGGGCGTTTCTTTTGCTCCTCAGCATGGCTGCCTAAAAACGCTGCAGGATTTCTCAAACATGCATGAATGAGTCAAAGCAAGGCTTTGGGCATGTTTTTTTATGAGAGGATAACATTATAACATGATATAAAACTCAAAAAAGTTGATTTTACATGATATTGCCACTTTAAATGTTTTTTGTTTTGTTTTGTTTGTTTTTAAGGACCCCAGGAAGAGTAGTAGCCTTTGTTACAGCAATGGCTAATGGGGATCCAAATCATGATAAAGATAAAAAATTTATTACATTTTTCGTTTAAAGAGTAACTTACCCCAAAATTAACTTTTTTTAGCTGATAAACTGTCTAGAATGTGTCTAAAATGTTATATAGTACTGTTTCAGTGCTAATTTTGATGTTTTTGTGCGTATTTGTTCAAATCTAATATTTGGTCTAAACATGTCTTTTTGCTGCTCGTGTGGGTAGAGCAGTGGTACTGCAGGCTAATTTACATATTGGTTAACGGCTCTCCCCGGT